CAAAAGAAACTTGATTTCCTCACATTTAATACATGGCAATATAATAGTAACCAACACTGAAGTAGGACAAGCACAGCAATATGCTAGAGGGAAAGTTATGTGAATGTGGTTTCTGCCTCAAAATACATTATTGTACAGAACCAACTCTTTGTCTTCTTATAGCACTGTGAAATAATATGACTATGTGATGAGATGAAGGGAAGAGAAGGCACTGTGATAAGAGTGTGATGACAGATAGGCCCACTCAGACAGAACTGTGATCCTGTGTGCATCAATCCAACACACAAAACAGCAAATAAATGACTAACGAGAAAGTAGGGAACACAACATGGAAACCCTGGACACAGGGATAAATCCATACTCCCAGAGGAGAATGCACAAAATATTCATGCAGCTACCCACAAAGGCACAATATGTAAAAATTCATGAATTACTGATTTCTGCAACTATCAGTTTAACATTTTCAAACTATCCTTGGCTATAAGTAACTAAAGTACAGACAATGTAAATGCAGTTGAGGGCAGACAACCATCACCATGCTTTTCAGCCTGAATGACAGCTACCTCAACAAGTTTTCATCATGAGCAACACAGTCTTTAGCTTGTATAAACATGCTGTGTGTGTGTGTGTGTGTGTGTGTGTGTGTGTGTGTGTGTGTGTGTGTGTGTACGTATGTACAAGAAGTTAAAGTTGGGTGTTTTCCTCAATTACCCTCTACATTATTTTCTGAGATAAGGGTCTCTTCCTTAACTCAGAGCTCACTATTTACCTAGGCTGTATTCTGGCCTGTATTCTCATGTCTCTGCCTCCTCAGCGCTGAGGATTCATCCTCAGCATTATAATATAATCCTGAGGATTATAGATACATGCCAACACACCCTGCATTTATATTGTATTGGGAATCTAATTTAGGTCTCCATGCTTGTGTAGCCATCTGAACTATCTCCCCACTCTCTATTTCTTAAAATACTAAAATAATAACTGTCTTCTCCATCATAAACTTCTCCAACTGTCTTCCATTGACTATTGAAGCCAAGGAAGCTCATAATAAGCCACCCCAACATATAAAGACCACTCTAATATGCTGAATATTTAAATTATAAACAGTGTAAAATTCAGTACAAAAACATGTCTCTGGCCTTCACAGTTTTTCTTAAAAGCAGAAATTCAGTCCCTGTGTGGAAGAGGCAACAGCTTATCCTCAAAGATGAGAAGAGAAGACTAAGAGAACTCTGCATGGTGCTGGTTAAGGGACTAATAAAATCTGTCTATGCACATAATTTAGGTGCTTTTCCACAATAATTATTCTTTGTCATTCCCTGACCAAGAAAGTAGATCCATGCCTTGTTCACCCATCACCAGAGATTCCTCCCATAGATGATGGAAACAAATAAGAGACCTAAAGTCAAAGAGTATGAAGAAAGTGAGAGACCTTGGAATACTTAGCACTAAATGGGATGTCTTCATCAAATCCCTCCCCTCAGGGCTCAGGGAACCTTGTGGAAGAGGAGACGGAAAAACAGTTAAGAGTCAGAGGGGATGGAGGACACCAAAACAGCAGGGCCCTGTAAATCAACAGGATCAAAGCTCATATGAACTCCCAGAGACTGAGGCAGCATGCACAGGGCCTGCATGGGTCTGGTCCAGATGGGAGTCCTGGAGCTGAAAGGAGAAATGGACACACCCCCTCATTCCTAACCAGAAGCTACCTCCAATTGATAGCAACTTGCAAATGAAATACTCTGTTTTCTCTAGGGGCATCTCACTGGGGAAACAAACTACTCTTAAGGGTAGGTTCCATGCCCAACAGTAAATGACCAAGACAAAAATGAACTCCATAGTATTTTTGTGTCATAATGCTGTCAAAGTATTTTTTTAACCATACAGGTCCATATATATATATATATAATGATTTCCAGTTTCGTGCTTTTAAGGGATTCCTGTGTGTGTGAGCATGAGTGTGTGTTTCTTGTATTTTTTTCCTTTGGCCCATTCTCTTGTCTGATTGTTCTGTCATATTCTAGATTGTTCATTTTGTTTTACCTTATTGTATTGTATTTTATTAGTATTCTTTAGGTGTTTGTTTTCTAATGAGAGACAGAGTGGTGTAGATTCGGACAGAATGGGAGGTGAGGAGGAACTGGGAGGAATAGGAGGAGGGGAATCTTAATCAGAATATATTGTATGAAAAAAAATATTTTCAATACAAATATTCTTTGTCCAGTCCATTACTTTAGTAACTGATTCTAAATTCAACTTTGGGATTTCATATCTCTTCAATGATTCTTATGCTATGTAAAAATCTGTATTAAATAAATGCGTATGCTTTTCTTCTATTGATCCAGCTTATATTAATTTAATTCTAAGGCCTATCTGGGGCCCTGAAGAATGGATATGGTGTTTTCCTGCCTTTACCAAGCAATCTGTCCTTGCTGTACAGTGCAGATTTTAAACCTGCTTTGCCCCTCTGCTGCTTAGCTCCTATTAGTTTGTCACAGTCCCTCTGAAAAGCCTTCCCTGTAACTGTGCTCTTCTTTATGTTCACAAACATCAAACTCACCAAATATGCAGGGTACCTCTTTATGCAAAGCACTTCCATTAAGTCTCTAGTACCTGCACCTGACCCCAGCTTCCTGGTTGGATAGTAAAGATGTGAAGAAAAACTTAGGGCAAATACTTAGAAATAATTAACAAAATGCTTTAAAATGTTCAGCGTGCCCTAAAGGAGAAATAATGGGCTATATGGAAATGAGGAGGAGCAAACCCTAACCTACATGAGCAGTAAGGAAAGCCTGGCAAATGAGTCAAGTATGGTTGAGGCAAGAAAAGAAAAACAAATCAAAATAGGATTTCAAGCAAAGGGATAAACACATAGAATTGCCTGGGGACATAAGGGGAGGGAATATGGTAGATTTTAGGATCTATAAGAAAGATCCATTAAATATAGGACTGAGGATGCAGGTTTGGAGCATACCAGAAGGCCCTGGCCACTAGGGCAGGCAGGCATGACTGCATTTCCTCCACACAAAAGCTCATGCACACCACCACCCAACTACAACCACTTCGGCACACAGCACAGGAAATCCAAGCTGTTCCCTGCAAACCCTGGAGCCAAACCCTACTGCTCCTAGCAGCAGCAGACCTAGGGCCAGCACAGCTAGAAAAAAAGGTCATCGCTATGAGTGCATACTGCTGGTTCTCTAGCAGGTACCTCATTCAAAACTCCTGGTTGGACTTAATAATAATAATTATTATTTGCTTATTTTGATACCATCATATGTTGTTTTGTTTTTCATATCATTTCTTTTACCTTAGTGTGGGAGTTTTCTGTATGTGGAGATCTTGTTGAGTTGAAATATAATTGTTTCCTTTGAGACACATGACTAAACACTGTATTAAAGATACTATCAATTATACAAAAATGGGAATCACATAATTACATTTCTATTTTTTAATAATTTTTCAGAAATGCTTGAAAAATAGAGATACGGTTGCAAAGATTTACAATTTTTTTCTTAATATACCCAAAATCAGCTATATGGGTTAAAGTAGATAATTCTCAATTGGCTGTTTTCTTTCTTTCTTTCTTTTTTTTTACCTAAACAAATACTAAAATTATAGCAATTTACTGCTGGAAATAGCACAAAATATTTAGTACAGTTCAGCAATGTTCCCTGAATTACTTTTGTTGTGTCTGCACATTGAACTACTTGCCAATTATGACAGTTAACAAGGTTTATCTTCAAAGAGAGAAGAGAAAAGTATTTATTCCCCCAACTTAGAACATATATGCCGGAGTAAATCTCTGAGGGACCTCACTGCTAAGGAATAAGTTCTTATTAGAGTTGCTTCTCCCACAACCATGCCATCGTGCCAGATGGATTCTGTGGGCTTAGAATAAATGCTCCAGTGGACCAAGCTCACTCCTCATTCTTGAAAGCAGGCAGGGGACACTCCTCCTCTTTTGCCAACCCATGAGCAGTATAATAGAGAGATTCTGGGAGTGAAGTTGGTGGATGGTGGAAAAGGATGAGTAAGACTTCACAACTTTACCTCCCTGCTGTAAAGAGTAAAAGGCTCTGGTGGCAGTTTTGCCATCAAGGAAGCCTTGTGAAGACACAGCCACACAGCATGTGAATATAAATCAAGCAAACAGAGTAAGGACCTGTCTGAGGTGTGCTTACAGGCTTCCCTACTGCATTAGACTAATGATAGCAGACTGGCGTGCATTTGCTGATACTTGTGCTACCAAAGCATTCAAATATACAAGGGTGTTTCCTTGGTGTAAAATTATACAACTGATAATACATATTGGCTTAAGTTATTGCCCTAGCCAGACCAAACAATAAAAATTTATCATTCAATGCTTCAGTTATAATTTTCTAGATGTTCATTTAAAGAAAGACTTAAAACAAATTTCATACCACTTCCACAGGTACTAAAACATAAGAAATATAGGCTGTATACTACCTAATATAATTGAACATTTGGGTGATGGATGAAAATCATTAAATAATACACAAATGCAAATCAGTAGATGCCTTCTCTAGCTAAAATACAGTAAAAGCAGCATTTTAATTTCTTTACATAAACTTTGCAATGATGGCTCATGGGTCAAATCAAGGCTGTATCTGTTTTCCATACACAATACACAATGTTGATACAGAAATATTACAAAAACACGCATAGCTCTAACTGGCAACAGGGTGTGAGAAAGGATGACTTGTTGATCACTTTAAGTTGGCAAAGAAATCTGTTTGGATTACTTTATACATGGTCCAGTTCACCCGTTTATACTTCTAAGTCATCAATATTTGTGATTTCTTATCTATGCACACATGTTAATGTCTTCCCAGCTCAGTCCAGATTTATGTTATACACAAGAAAAAAAAAACAGATGGAAATTCAAAACTAACAAAACAGAAGTAAAAAAACTACACATGGTCTTCTCACAGCATCTTGACCACCAGACTTTCCTTTCTGGTAGGCACACACCTTACCTGCAGCTCTTTTTCTTCCATCTTCCTTTGGAGCACTTTAAGACACTTGGTGAAGTCAGTGTGGTCTTGGTCAGGAGTTGAAATAAGATCACAGCCCTACATGTTGAAGACAGAGAACGTTAAGAATAAGTAAAGATTTCAGCACATGATCAAAAGGACAAGCTCTAAAAGTAAGGACACGTTTAAAAGTAAAGATAGGCTATCATTAGATAAATCCTATGAGGCCAGTACTACCCCCTCATTAGAATCAGCATCATCTTTATACCTTTTTTCTTTCACATAAAGGGACACACCAGGAATGAAGTTACAATTATAAGATGATTATGTCAATCATTTTTCCTAAGGAAAGTACATATTTTAACATATAATCAGTCCTTCAGAGATACTGATGTAATAACATTCAAGATTAACATAAGGAAATTGTATTAATATAATAAATTATACTCACAGTGAAATTCCTGAATTAAAATGAAAGTATTTCTTTAAAAGTCCAGTTTTCTTTAACCAGACTTCATCACTTGAGTTACATGAATGGAAAAACTAACATTAATATTGAACTAGTGATTATATTTTACACTTTAGGTAAAATCCAGTTAGCTGTCCTATAAGATTCCTTTTATAGTCCTGCTTCCCCATGTGAGCAGCAGCAGAAAGAACTTCCCCTGTGCACATATGTGTCTTGAATTATCTTTGAGACATTATAGAGTCACGTTATAACTTCTTTGCCTTCTTTATAACATCTCACCATCTGCAAGATACCAAAGCCTATTCCAAAAGACAAAGCCAGAAGAGTATAGCTCATCATCTCCCGTGAACTTATATGGATAATGAACCTCTATTTTTTATTCATTTTACATACCAACCACAGATCCCCCTTTCATCCCTCCCCCGCTCCCCCACCCCTCCTACTTTCCTCCAAGAAGGCATGTTCTCCCATGGGGGGATAGTTAAGCCTGGTAATTCAATTAAAACAGGACCAAGCCCCTCCCTGCTTTATTAGGGGTGAGCAAGGTGTCTGACCACATGTAATGGGATCCAGAAAGCCAGCTGATGCACCAGGGACAGATCCTGATCACACTGTCAGGGAACCTTTAAACATACCCAGCTACACAACTGTCTCCTATATGCAGAGGGTCTAGTCTGGTCCTAGGCAGGAAGAACCTGTATCTTTGAAAAGACATCTTTTTTCCCAATGTCATACAGAGGAAAAGGTATGTAAAACCAGACCAAGATGGAACTCTATACTTCCTAAATCAGTAATGAAACAATTCTTGGATTCTTGACAAGCAGCTGAGCAAGGGAAAGTTAAACATAATCCAGTGTATAGAGTTGCCATTCAAAGAGTTTTCAAGGATACAAAACACCCATACGGACTCCTAAATTATTCTAAGAACCATCCTCAGTAGATTTAAGGCTTCTTCTTTTACCTCAAGGTCTCTTTAAATGTGTCAAGCTCAACCTGTGCTTTATTCATTTATGACTTCCTTCCAATGAAGTGACCAGTGAAAAAATTAATTTCTCACCATTCAGAAATATATGATGCTCTAAAAGACATATATGTCATCTTTACAAGATCAAAGACATAATTTCCTGACCCTAAAAGAACATTGAAATTTGCTATAATCACCAAGCAAGGGCATGAAGAAGTGGCTGATCCAAAGCTAACAGTCTTAAAAAGAAAGACATATGTGAGTGACTTAGGGGTATTAACAAAGTGACAGATAAGGCTGTCACTAACTACCACTATATGGAGAGCTCCCTGAGGGTAGGAACTGTGTTTCTTTCTGTACTGTTTCCCATTCTGGCACCTATCTGCTACACAGTAAGCATCTAATAAATATTTTCATGGTGTTTATTTTTTGCAGTGTAGGAATATATTATACTAAATGTGTTAAATGTATACATATTTAAAGATGTTTATAGAAATGTGTATTGGCAATATGCTGGGGCAGCATCTTCTTGCTAAGCATACCACATTTAACAACTGAGATTTGTCTTTCTTTTTAAAATAGTGACAACAGAACAACCACACTGAGGAAATAAAACTGAACAGGCAAATACGAACAGCAATAGACAAAGGACTTAGGACACAGGACTTGCATGATTTGAGCTGGATCCCTCCTGCAGTCTAGCCTGCAAAGGATCAGAAAGTCTTATGCAAGCCGCAAAGGGAAGGAAACAATAGATGTCCAGCTGTGAAAATTATGAACCCCAACACTGACCAACATGGTAAAGAGACATATGGTGTAAGAATAGCATTCTTAGTCTTGCCGGTAGCCAACAGCTCTCTAGTTGTACTGTAGGCCCGTTCAACATTAGCGAAATCAGGCCTGATGCTGGAAACCTAGATAACTACCTGGCAGTAGTGAGGTCATGGGTCTTCAAAAAAAACCTACTACCTCCACTTGAAAAGATCAGCATAATTCTTAACATACTCTGAAATTTATCCTTATACCCACAGATAACTGTAGCTCTCCTCCCATACCAAAGAAGTGTCACTTTAGAGAAAGTGGAGAGCATTACAGAAATTCACAACTAGACACAACACAGAGATCAATAGACCACAAGGACTCCAGCCCCAGGGGATGCACCTACCACACAACTACTATAACTAAGGAAGGCTCCAGGAACACTGTGGGAGAGGGGATGGAAGATTCTAAGAGCCAGAGGATGAGGAAGACTGACGTGAGACTGTGTTTCCGAGAAATGGCTGATTAAAGAAGACCTGAAAAATGACAAGATCAAGACATGCTAACACGGGAAGGGAAGAAAAATCCCAAAATGTCCCATCTGCAAACAAAGAGCGACAGTCAACTAATGACTATTGAGAAAAGGAGAAATACCGTCTCCTAGGGCTGAGACCCATAACTGATTATCTAGTACAAAATGGTCAGCTCTGAAATCATACACACATTAACAAAAATGGACGCAGCGGATTGCACTTACGTATCTGTGCATGCACACACATCAGAATAATGATCTAAGAAAAATAGGTTATCATTTTGAGTATGAGAGGGGCACATGGAATGAGATGGAAAGAGGAAAGGGAATGGGGAAAATTATGTAATTACATTTTAAGTAAAAGACATTAAAACTAAAAATTTAAAAAATTGAAAAATAAAATAAGGATATGAAGTTGGTAGGGGTTATTTTGGATTTGGAAGTGATACTGATGGATGAATATGATCAAACTACATTGTATACTGGTTTGAACTTTTCAAATAATGCATATGTGTGTGTGTGTGTGTGTGTGTGTGTGTGTGTGTGTGTGTGTGTTGACTTCACTTTTTCTCAGTTCTCTAGAAAACAGTAAGTCTAATAAAGAGAAAGAAGGCAACAAAGAAAAAAATGATACTTATGTAAGTTATCCATCAAGGCACATCCATATTAGATGGGGGATATTGACCATGCTAAATAAAAACTAACTTGATCAGAGTCAGAAGCACTAGAGAATTGAACGTTTTTCACTGATTTGGTATTTTCTTTTTTAAAAAGTTAAAGTCCTCACAACACTCAATACTCCCAAATTTAAAAGAAAAGGACATGAAGCTTAGCATTAAAAAGACTTGAGTTTCCAATTGATGGTCTGCAAGATTAGTTTCCTGATAGTAATACATATATTTTAACTAAAAACACACTGAAAAACCCACAAAGTTAAAACTACAATGATCTTAAATAGTCTTGAGGTGCTGCTCCTTGGTAAAAACTGCATTTTCATTGATTTTTCTTAGTTTCATAAAATGTAGGGTTTTATTTAAAGCAAAAAAGTATTATTATTTTATGAGTCAGGAGGTGGTTCCAATTTCATACTGCATTTGTCTGTGTTTATTTTTTTCGTCAGTTAACAAGGAGATACTTACATGACTTAATTTTACTAAGTTTCCTCTATGAATAGGCTGCTTTCTCAAGCTGGATTGTGATTTTTGATATTATATTTCATTAATTGTAGTTTACAGTGACTTAAAACAAAAACATCTGGACTGATGCTACACAGTTCAGAATATGTTGATGCCAAGATTATTCTAATTTTTGTTCTAACCCAAAGTAATCTTTTGAAGATGTGGACTCACACACCCGCCTAAACGCTCCTGAAGTACACAAACACTAGAGGAAAAGCAAGAAGTACGGGAATGAGAGCAACTACTTTAAGAATTCTGTTCTAGTCCCTGAAAAAAGAAATTGAAGAAGATGTCAGAAAATGGAAAGATCTCCCATGCTCATGGATAGGCAGGACTAACATAGTAAAAATGGCAATCTTACCAAAAGCAATCTACAGATTCAATGCAATCACCATCAAAATATCAACACAATTCTTCACAGACCTGGAAAGAATAATACTCAACTTCATATGGAAAAACAAAAAACCCAGGATAGCCAAAGGAATCCTGTACAATAACACAACTTCTAGAGGCATCACAATCCCTGACTTCAAGCTCTACTATAGAGCTACAGTAATAAAAACAGCTTGGTACTGGCATAAAAACCGACATGTGGCCAGGCGGTGGTGGCGCACGCCTTTAATCCCAGCACTCGGGAGGCAGAGCCAGGCGGATCTCTGTGAGTTCAAGGCCAGCCTGGGCTACCAAGTGAGTTCCAGGAAAAGGCGCAAAGCTACACAGAGAAACCCTGTCTCGAAAAAACCAAAAAAAAAAAAAAAAACCGACATGTGGACCAATGGAATCGAATTGAAGACCCTGACATTAATCCGCACACCTATGAACATATAATTTTTGACAGAGAAGCCAAAAGTGCACAATGGAAAAAAGAAAGCATCTTCAACAAATGGTGCTGGCAAAACTGGATATCAACATGTAGAAGGCTGCAAATAGATCCATATCTATCACCGTGCACAAAACTTAAGTCCAAGTGGATCAAGGACCTCAACATAAATCTAGCTACTCTGAACCTGCTAGAAGAGAAAGTAGGAAGTAGTCTTCAACGCATTGGCATAGGAGACCACTTCCTAAATAGAACACCAGTAGCACAGACTCTGAGAGAAACAACCAATCAATGGGACCTCTTGAAACTGAGAAGCTTTTGTAGAGCAAAGGATACGGTCAACAAGGCAAAGCGACAGCCTACAGAATGGGAAAAGA